TTTCACTATCCTTCCAATTATCCTATGGCTCACTTCTCTTTTCTGGCTAACTTCCTTGAGAAAGTCATCTGCAAAAAATGCTCATGTCCTTTTCCCTCACTCTTTTAATGCTCTGCAGCCTGATTTCTGACCTCATCATTCAACTGAAGCTGTTCTTGCCAGTTACCAATGATTTCTTAATTGCCAAATCTACTGGTCTTTTCTCAGTACCTCATCCTTCTTGATCTCTCTGTCCTTTGATGCTGTTGACTATTACCCTTTTCTCCTTGAAATTCTCTTCTCTACAGGTTTTTGTGATATTGCTGTCTCCCAATTCTCCTCTTACCTGACTGAAAACACCTCCTCTGTCTCTTTTGCTAGATCTTTATCCATGTCATACAGGCTAATTGTGGGTGTCCCCCAAGGTTCCCCATATCCTCTCGTCTTCTCCCTTTGTACTATCTCTTGGCAATCTTATCCATTCTCATGGATTCAATCATCTCATTTCTATGGAGATTCTCAGGTGCATTTGAGCCCAAACTTTGTTCCTGAACTCTGCTCTCATCTCACCAATTGCCTACTGGAAATCTCAAACTCACAGACATCTTAAACTCAGAATATCCAAAACTTAACTCATTATCTTTTCCTCCAAACCCTCCCCTCTTCCTGTACATTCCCTAATACTGTTGAGGGCACCACCATCCTCCCAATTACCCAGTCTCAATGTAGGCATCATCCTTGACACCTCAGTAACACTTACCCCAGATATCCAAGCAGTTGCCAAGTTCTAATGCAGATCTGACTATATTATACTCTCTCTCATACACACACACACAGAGTAAACACTAATGACTCCCTATTACTTGAAGGATCAAGTATAAAATCCTCTGTTTAGTTTTTAAAGCCTTTAACAACCTGGCCTCTTCCTTCATTTCCAGTCTTCTCAGACTTTACTTCAAAGTACTCTACAATCCCAAATACTGTGCTGTTCCTCAAAGAAAACACTCCATCTCCTGAATGTGCATTTTCACTGGCTTTCCCCCTACCTAGAATCCTTTCTTTCTTCTTTTCAACTTCCTGATTTCCCTGGCTTTCTTCAAGATTCAGCTCCAATCCTTTCTTTTGCAAGAGCCTTTTTAATGGCTTCCCTCTAAAATTACCTCCAATTTGCTCTGTTGTATAGTTTCTTGCAGTTATCCTCCACTAGATTGTCAGCTCTCTGAGGACAAGGACTCTTTTATCTTTCTTTGTAACCCAGTGCCTGGCATAAAATGGGCACTTAACAAATGCTTGCCGACTTGATTAAGAAGGCTTCAAACACAAACCAGTGGCAGGGTATTCTCTTGAATGTGTAAGATAGGCCAGCAGGCAATGGTAGAAAGGTTAGAAAAGGATATAAAACATTTATACATGACATTCCACCTTTCATCTGCATCTGTAGACTCTCTCCCATGCCTGGGAATGTTATCCTTCCTCATCTGCTCCCCTTAAAATCCCTAGCTTCCTTGAAGGCTATTTTTGTATCTCCTTGACAAGCCTTTCATGATTCCAAAGCTGTCAATACTTTCCATCTGCCCCCTCCCCTGAAAAGGGTATATTTTGTATTTATTTCGGTAGACTTGTTTTCCCTCAAGTAGCAAACTCTTTGAGGGCACTTGGACTTTTTTTTCTTTTATCATAGTAGGGACTTAATATTTATTGAATGTTGTGCTTTCATCTACCCACTACTTTTGTTTCCTGGAAACACTCCACCAAAGCTGAATACACCCATCTCCTGATTTCATCTTAATAGACAATTATTTACTAAGAGTTGCTGTGGCCAAAGATTTCATCACCCGGCAGCTACACTGGTGATGAGCTTCTCAAAGTTGGATAGACTAGCCTTCACATGACTGTCATATGATCCAATACCAGGCTCACTTCTGAAGTTGTTCTACCTTGACAGAATCAGCTAAAGCTCCTGCACCCCTCACAGTAATATTCCCCAACTCCCAATTATACATATTTAGTAGGGTGTGTGTGTGTGTGTGTGTGTGTGTGTGTGTGTGTGTGTGTGTGTG